TTTTTTTTTCTCTCCTTCATTTCTTTGGTATCGTTTTCAAAATAGTTTAAATAATCATAAATGTTGTTCGCAGCTCGATTGTGCTTCCAGCGCAGGCCATCGTCATAGCTGCCATTTCATCAAAGGGGGAAAAAAGAGAACGAATATGAACATTTACTCATGTGCTTGTAAATCCTGCTGGGCCCTTCCTGCCCTGCTGCATCTTGTAGATACTCATTAAGAGGAAATTACGCTTTGCATTTCCACTGTACTTTAATGAATGAGCTCTGTCCTTGTTTTAAGCTGTATATGCCAGTTATATGCCTTATCTAGGACAGCAGAGTTTATAACCACCTGCACGAATGAATACATGCAACACTTTATGGTCAGTTAACTCTGGTAAATTGAGTTGTAGTTCCACTTTGACTTTTACTGTGTTTATTATATTTCTAAATTAAAAAAAGGTGAATATCTCACAAGCGTGTGGTGTGGTTGTGTCACTTTCTTTTTTTTTTTTTTTTTTTTTTTTTTTTTTTTTTTTTTTTTTTCTTTGTCAACTTATTTGCAACATTCAATGATTTTTATAGAAATGGCAAGCATCGCATTTCTTGTTTCTGTTGCTGTTGTTCTGAACTGAGGGCAGAGGGAGCAGTTGTCTACTCCTGTGGCCACTTTAGTGCCTTCTAGCTTTACTATTCGCTGCTGCACGGTGTTCAGAGCATCCTATTAAACGTGACCCAAAGCATTTATCTGTTACCTCCTGACTCTGCTGATAAAGAGGCCCCTCAGTGTGGCACATACAGAAGATAGGAGTATTCATATTGCATAAGCAAAGTTAGCGTTCGAAGAGATAAATAATACAGACTCCTGTCCAGGAGATCGTTATTCAATCAATGTGTAAGAGGAAACTGATATAGCAGTCACTGATGAAGCTGTAGATAAAACTATTTTCAACCATTTAATCTCAAATGATCCCTGTACTACGTTTTTTGAAATTAATGACACATTCAAGCTGTTCACACTTCAATCCTCATTTGTTTCCCTATTTGTTCCTTCAATTTTTCAGTTTGCAGCTGTGACATTTGATAATGCATAGTCATGTTGGATGCTGTGTATTTAGTTGCAATAACATATAAAATCCTGTATATGGTGCTAGAGAACCTTTTATCTGAGTTTAAAGTTTAAACCATCAGCTGTAGCTGTGACGGGGACCTCAAAACATTGACTTCTGTGGAAGATAGTTCATAATTTGTCAGTAATTACTTGAAAGCAATCAATCAATCTTTATTTATAAAGCACTTTTCATACAAAGAAAATGTAGCACAAAGTGCTTTACATAGTTAAAAGCAGGTAAAGGTAAGATGTGATGGTTTAGAGCCTAAAGAGACATCTGAAATTTTTTTTTTTTTTTAACAGTTACATTTACACTCGCAAATCTCACATCTCTGATCAAGTTTAGTTGCTCTTCGTCTGCCTGGGATCTTTCCGTGGTTGCTGCTGTATTAATGACATCGACTGATGTAAATGACCCTGCTGCTGCGTGTCATTCTGGGTCCCTCTCATATCTCCTGGCTGCATATCTTATGCCGTGCACATCCCCACTGCCCCAGGCTGTGTTGACATTTAGACAGGCTGTTCCTTTTCAGAGAGAACTTGGCACGCACACTCCTAGATAACCTTGTCAGCTCCGAGACTTGCCTGTTCCTCAAACTGCTTTTTTCTCCTCTCTCTCTTTCGCTTTCATGGCAGTTTCTTCTTGTGTGTTTGTGCCATTTCCCTAGCCTCGCCTTCTTCTTTCTTGTCATACATTTTTGTTTACTCTTATTCTTTTTCTTTTTGTTGACATTTAAAAGTGTATTTGCATCTCTATCTGACACCTGGAGCACCCATCTGTTTTCTGTTCTGTCTTCTTGTTTTTTTGAACTTCTCTCACGAGTGTTAACCCTTATCATATCAGCTGGTGCAGCAACGAAGATAGTGCTCTTTCTCACTCACTCTTGCTGAATACTGCGAATAATACCAATCGTTCTCAACACAGCAGCTGTCTATAAAAAGTAGGTCAGTTAATTAAAATCATGAACTAAAAAGGTGTTAATTTGAATTAAGCACTTGCTTAACTATATTAAGCAAGTCTATTTAAAAGTTGTGTCTAATCAGTGTATAAAATGCATATTAGAATAAAGCTCCTGTGTGAAAACAGTGTTATACTCTTATATTTATACAAATCCAGTTTCCAAAAAGTTTAGGAGGCTGTGTAAAATGTAAATAAAAACAGAACCCAATGATATGGAAATCTGATGAACGCATGTTTTATTATAGAACAGAGAAAACACACTCTTTCTATTTCATGCAAATTATTAGCTCATTTTGAATTTTATTGCAGCAGAAGGCTGCGAAAGGCTTTTTAGGGGGTACTAAAAAGAAACAACTGGAGGAATGTTTTCCAACAAATTAGGTTAATTGGGAACAGGTCAGTAATGTGATTGGGTATAAAAAAGAGCATCTCAGAGATGCAGAGTTTCTCAGAAGTAGAGTTGGGCAGATGTTCACCAATCTGTAAAAAAACTACAGATTGGTGACAAATCTACAAATTTTGCAACAATATTCCTCAGTGTTAAAATGCAAAGACTTTGAATATCTCATCTACAGTAAATAATAACATCAAAGGATTCAGAGAATATGGAGAAATTTCTGTGCACAAGGGACAAAAATCAATATTGGATTGGGGCCCTCGGGCAGCGCTGCATTTAAAACAGGTACGATTCTGTCATGGAAATCAATGTAGGGGCTCAGGAACACTTCCAGAAATCACTGCTATAAACACGGTTCATCGTGCCATTCTCAAATGCAAGTTAAAGCTCTATCGTGCAAGGAAGAAGCCAAATATGAACATAATCCAGAAACGCAGATGGAAAAATGTTATGCGGACAGACAAATCAAAATTTGAAAATCATTTTGGAAAACATGCACGTTGCATTCTGTGGGCTAAGGAAGAGAGGGACCAAATGTGACAAAGAACTGTTGAGCAGCAAGAATCGTTTTTTTTTTTTTCAGCTTAAACATCTGACATGTTTTCTGTGTTCTGTTAAAAATGAAATATAATATTTATATTTTACACAGACCAAACACCTTTTTTTTTAGGAATCCCGTTTGCATACTGGAGGAAAACACTAGGTTTGTTTGTTGTTTTATGACAGTATCGTGTTCACTTTGAAGATAAAAAGAACCAACCAGAGAGCGATGAATTCATGAGGTTGTGAGTCACTTGTGTGGATAATTTATTACCGTGGCATTTTCTGTTGTCTTACGTGGACACCTCCAGATGTGGCCCCTTTCTCGCTCTCTCACACGCTTTCCAATTTGGGCCATCAACTCACAGGAAGAAATTCCTCACAACCCAAGCGCACATGCCAAATGTCATCACAAGAAGATTTCTGCCTGCCCTCTGATTTATTTATTTCCTTTCCTACTTAGAGAGGGATCTTTGCTTTTATTTATTTATTTTGACAGGAGCTAACCTGAGGAGGACGCACATACAGTGCTGCTGCTCACTTCCTGCAGGAAGATGGACAAAAAGTTCAGAAGGACTGTTTTTCTGCCTCTTTGAAAAGATTTGAGGACACTTACCTGAAGAATTCCTTCATGATGTGTGCAGCTATTCAGCTACTAAGTGTCTTTTCTGGATTTGTTTCATAACTGCTGCCTTTGTCAGCTTTACCATCAAAGGTTTAACAAAGAACATGCCTTGAAGTGTATCACATGGTGGATTAGGGGGATGTTTGCTTTCTTATAGGTACAGCAGGGGGAAAAAGGTGGGATTTGTCTCCTTTTTATTAAAAAGTTATACAAACAAATTGTAGTAGAGTTGTAGTAGTGTCAAGGTTTATTTGATTTTCCAACCTTTCACCATCCTTTGAGACCAAATATTAAATATGCATTGTCAGGACCAAGAGCAGGTGCTACTGACAGCAAG